ATATATATATATATATTACATGAAAACTATAAGTAAAATCGAATGTGACTTTGTGTTTATTCATATATGGAAGTACATTACATGAAAACTATGAGTCTAATTTGAATCTACCTATGAGTATATTCATACGTGAATAATACTCCAATATGAACATACATTACAAGAGTAAAATAAACCCAATTAAAAAACTAAAAAATATATTAACATAAATATCAAATTAAAAAATGATCACCTTTGATATAATAGTTTAATTAAAATACTAATTATAGATATATATTTAATTAAAACAAAAAATAAAAGTTTACAAATGTTTCCAAATAGGCACATGTAAATCACCTCTTTTAATTTGTCCAATCCAAAATTTATATATAATAGATTTAATTAATTTCCACATTGCATTTAATCTTTCTTTAAATTACCAATATGCCACTTCCATATTATTACCATTATTGAATTGGATGGATGGTTTGAATTAGTTTATGGATTCTCAATATATTCAGAATCTTAAAGTTAACAAACCTTTCTAATAAAATATTATATAATAAATATATTCGTATATTATATATTATATACATTAATACAAAATATTATAATTAATAATATACCATATATTATTAATTATTTATGTTATATATTTATAATATAATATGATATGACATATAGTATATTATAAAATATAGTACACACACATATATATATATATATATATATAGAGTGAGAAGAACGATCAAATACAAACCACTCAATTTGTATAAATCGTGTAAACCACTTTCATCCGTCGATTTCATTGTTTACTCTTATGAAATTTTTTCATAAAATTGTTTAATCTTGTGAAATTATTTCATATAATACTTTTTTGATGAAGTTGTTTCATATATGGTTATGAAATTGTTTCATATAATACTTAATGAAATTTTAATGAAATTGTTTCATGTTTTCTCTAAAATTAAAATAATGAATATGATAATATCTATGATTAAAAACCTCCACAATAAAAATGATTAATCAACCTCTCATAATTACAAAAAAAATGAACAAAATGAAAAATTATGATTAGTTGAATGAGGTTTGTACAGTTTGTACAAATAACGTGGTTTGCAAAGTAAACCTTCTCTATATATATAATATATAAATTATTTATGAATTTTAATAAATATAAATATAATATATATATATATATATATATATATATAGTCATGTATTATTATTTATAAAAGTATAAATGTTTATAAATAAAATTGTTTATTGTTAGTGGATTTGTGTAATTAATAAATATTATATCATAAAAAACTATTAAACATTATTAAAGGGACAATATAGTCATTTTAATATTTATGTTATGTCCTACACAACATATCAAATACTATACGGACAATTTATTGAGTTCAATCAAGTGTACAAGTTATGAAACGTTAATACAAACAGCTTGTTTAGACTAACCAAATTCAATCCCGCATGATTACCAAAAATGTCGTAATAAATTCACGTTTACATTTAAATAGCTAAAAACCTTATTAATATAATATTCAATTACAACAAATCAAAATATATATGTTTAATTTAATAAATAGGAAAATATAAACATTGAAAAAGTAAAAAATGCATAAATAACGAAATTAGAAAAATGATGTATATACAAATCGAAGATAAAAAAAACCATTTGGCAATTTGTAATGCGTTAATTTGTATATAATTCTAATGCTTAAATGCATATATATATATATAGAAATATTTTATATGCATTATTAATTTATACATAGTTTTTTAATAATTGTATTATTGAAAAATAAAGAGTTAAGATATAAAATCTAATGTTTAATAATATACTAGAAGGGTACTCACGCAATACAGCGAGATATATCTCGATTTCAATGTTTCATTTTATTTTTTTGATCTCTGTCGATATTATAATACGAATTTATGTGGTTTTGAGCAAACAATAATATTTTTCTTAATAAAATATAAATTTAAAGATGTCATAAAAATTATAGAAGTTATCATTTTTAT